CTTTAATTTATGTTTAACTATGGATCTCTTTTTTGTTATTTCATACTAGGTATTGAAAGTATACGGCGTAGTGATGCCACATCTGACAATGAAGAAAAGTTTGTCCCTTCAGTCAGAACGTCAGTTTGCCTCTTTTTTCTCGCCAGATGGGCCCAATATACTTTTAACCCTGCGTAAAATCCAGATACTTGGAGTAAAACTAGATGGCATCGTACAACAACTCAACTTCCTAATTGACGAAGGTCAAACGATAGGTCCAGATGGTAAAGGGACAAACGGACCTGACGCTTTGCTGTCGATGGTAGACTGGACATTGCAGAATCAAGTTAATCAGACTTCTGCCTTGTCGATACAATATGTATTTTTATAGCAAACCATTTACAATGATATAATGGACAAACGGTTTGCAATAGTATTTATCATGGCTAAACTACCATTTTACACAATCGGAAATGCATTAGTACTATGAGTATACTCCTTAAATACCAGTACCAGTACTTGTCAGCTCATGCGGTATTAGTACAAATACCGGTATTGTACCAGTACTTTTATTTTGTAATTTAGTACCAATACTTTTACATTTCACCATATTTTGCATACAGACTGTTTAATTTAAATTTCCACAACATAGTTTACTTAATATAAAAGTATAAAGATAAATAGGATAATATATATGATAAAACTTTACTCCATCAATATTTTATGAAAACCAAAGTTGTCCTTTATTAACGCAGTACCAGTGCCACATTTTGAGACAGAATTCAGTACCAGTACAAATAGCAGCAAATTTTTTATGCGAGTAATTCAGTGACAGTACATTACCAATACAGTACTTGCAAAATAAATGTGCAGTAGCAGTAATGCATGACTGTACACAATTAAAAAGATCAGTTACTTAACTTGTTCTTACTATTTTCTTCAAAATTAAAAAAAAAACTTGCACAGTTACTTAACCTGTTCTTACTATTTTCTTCAAAATTAAAAAAAAACTTGCATATAGACCTATAATTATAGCATAGTGAATAACTAACATGGAATTAATTGTACTATATCTTATATTTCAGGTTAAAATAAGAACCGTTACGATTTTTGTGGTACTTCATGACAGGACAGAATGAAAAATCGAGTATCATATGAAAGTACCAGGTAGAAACCTTCATTACTTACTTCTAGGTACTCGGCAATCTAAACTGATTTTAAAAGTCTTATCGGATTTTCACAATGACAAAATATGTATCATAAACACTGTAGTTTTGTTTAAAAGCACATATGATTTTCTTCTTTTTAATGGTAGCAGGTAAGGCTTTTTCATATTTCAAAATAATTTAAATTTTCTTTTAAGGACATGCGAGGTGTTTAGTTGATGTTGGATTTGCACATCTAAAGAAGGCATGATGTAGAGACACTACAACAACTAGCCGATGTAACAATAAACAGCGTTGTATGTTATCCTCAGTGGTCATGGCAGCAATGGAAACCCTTTCTAGATATTTTTCAAGTATAAAGTAAACTATGTTTATCTCATTCAAATGAAAATGTTTTAAATGAAAATGTTGTTAACTTTAAACTCGGAGTTGCGGTACCACAGAAAGAGAAAATATACATGAAAGTGTACGGGTGTATTGTTTCTATTAATCGTTTACTAGTAACTTTAATTTACTTTACTTACATTTCTATAATAAAATGAAGTAAAAAATGTCCATACCGTATAATTAGAACATAATCATGGTCCTTAAAGAGTATATTTAAGCCAAATCAGGTAAAACATTTTAAAATGAGATAAATTGTATATCATTCCTTCTATAATTAAATCAAATTTATATGTAAGGATGGTCTTATGTAATAGTTAACCTATAGCTCTTCAGCGCTTCTTATGTAAAATTCTTCCAAGTATAATTTCCAATAACCGTAAATTATACCATACCCAGACTATGGTTTGAAGATCGATGGAGTAAGTGTTTCTGGGCGGAGCTATAGGTTAAAACAGATACACCATTGGTGCGTTGACGATTTCTGGGTTTGCGTAAATTATACCATAATCACGTGACCTTTCTTATGCAACCTCACTCGACGAATGCAACCTCACTCGACTTCGTCTCGTGAGGTTAAGGCATAAGATAGTATCTATTACTTATTTTACAAACTGACAGTACAAGTAGTTGTTGCATTCTTTTAACTAAAATATTTTTTAAATGTGCACTGAATAATATTTAATATTGTTGATTTATAGAGGCATATTAGGAAATACGTTTGTAACAGTTGTCATTACGGATATTTAACGCTTTCTTTTGACAGAACATTCCAGCACATTCGGTTCCACTCGGGCACGCAGGATGCGGTGATGGCCAGAATAACACCCGAAAGCGAGAAAAAAGTTGATTCAAGTCTCGAAAGAACCAGGATTCATGGTCAGGTGTCCGTCCAAGAGTTATTACGCCTGGGGGTGTCAGCAAAGCGCAATATATATTTTGTTGCGAATTGTGCGAGCGTTTGTTAGTCAAGACAATCGGTCTTATTATCAGTGATCTAGGTGCACTGTTATAACAGTTTAGTGCTTATACATATTCAAACTACTTGCCTCTATGTTCATCATACGGCATTATTGAATTGTTTTACAATTTTCTACACTGTTATGTTGTAAGGAATAAAAAAAAACGTAGAATTTGAAACTACCTATCTATTTATTATTTTTCATAGTCGTAAAGATAAAAAACGTTAAAATACGTAGACTTATATACTATTGTTTCTTTCTTTCTTTGTATTTGGTATATACTAAACAATTTGTAAGCTGACTGGATGATTCAACCTATGGGACCAGTGCATACAAAAACCTACCAGCACACCTGTACCTTACCTTCTGATCGTGGTCAGCAATATTTGCTATTCAGTCAGTACATATTTTGAAAAATTCACGTAAGTTGTCCAGACTGAAGATATTTAGCATGGTAATGATTAAAATACAAATGATTAGCTGTGTATGACACTCTAGTTCGTGTTGTTATTACGTTGCTAAGTCTCTTATTTACATAACTTTATTACTAATCTATCGCCGTTGCTTTTTTCTTTTATTTGAATGAGTTGCATGATTATTTTGCAAAAAGTAATAGTATAGAAGGTGTATTTTGTATAAGTGGTAGTCTATTAAAAGCAAAGACTTATATAGCTAATCAAGCAATAAAAACCATGTATTGTTAAATTAAAAAATTTAAAAAAAATTCAATTACCTTTGGATATGCAAAAAAAAAATGTTTAACCAATTTTATTATATACCGTTGCAATTTCTATTGATATTGATTGCAGAATGTCTGATCTAGTTGTATCTAATGAATGAAACTATCTAGCGCATTTTATTAAATTTCTCTAAAACTTATAATACAAGTAGTAATGTTAATAGACATATATTTCTGTGGTTTAAGCATATTAAAATAATATCATACTAGTCAAATGTGGAAATTCCAATGTATGGACCTATCAGATGTTTCCTAATCATAAGCGGTTAGTTGCTAATGTGAAGCAAAAATTTTTAGATTTATTTCTAAATGACTGGTATTGTACAGCAAACGAATCGAGTATATGTAAAAATTATAAATTTTTTAAAGAAATATTCCATTTCGAACCCTGTTTAACAAGTACACCAAACAACTTCCTAAGATATGTAACAAGAAACAGCAGACTTTCTGTAGAAGCCGGACCGTTGGAATGGTATAAATTAAAATTAACGTAAACGAATGTACATTATGTAAAAGTTCCGGAAGTATTGGAGATGAGTTATCTGTACTAATAAAAAGATTGTTAGATCGTAATTATGCAAGACATCAAAAATATATTAACTTTTAAATCTTTTATGAATATAAATATTACTTATTGTAATGAATACAGAATTTTTTGTTTATTTGTTAAGGAAATAATCACAAAATTTTAGAATAGATAACATTTCTACATATTTGTTTATTATGTCCTTCAAAATGCGTGTCTCTCTCCATTTTGTTAAGATTAATTGTATTAATATAATTATTGCGATGTGTATGCTAGGCATCTTTATGTAATGTATGCTTATATGCTCTAGCTCATGTTGTCATGCGTGAACATGAATTGAATTCTGAAATAAACTTAACTTTTTTACATTTAGATCAAACTAATTGAGTTGATTAAAGACAAATAAAATTGCCGCTTTAAAATTCTTCAAATAATAAACATCAACTATAATTTTCTCGACAAAGTGTTCAAATATATGACGTTCTTTAAATAGGTATATCTCAATAAATTGCCTTTTGATTTAAAAATAGTTTTCACTATCTTATTCAGAAAGAAAATCTCTACAAAAATGAGATAAAAACCAAATTTTGAAAAAAAAATATTTAAAACCGGTTTTTTCGCGTCGTGCGTCAAATTTAATATACATCAAATCAATAGTAATTTATTTATTTACAGTTGAATGTAAGTCTTTTTTTACAATTTAATGTAAATTTCTTTACATTACTTACAATTTGATACGTACGTGTGTACTTTTATAACTTCAAACTATTGTATATATGATTCAATGCTTTACTTCTGGCCCCATGTACTATTGTCTGAATGACTGGTGTTCAATCATCACCATAACATTACATTTTATTTCAACTACGAATAGCATATGTTTTCATGTTAAAGCATTCTATCAAACATCTATGAAAGAGACAAAGAGAAAATGGCGTAGCATATCATATTACACAACCATGAACTACTCTTAAAGGTTAAAGATAAATAATTATAAATAACAAAAAGTAAATTTCAAAAGATTATTTTATCTATTTCAAAAGCTATAGAATTGAATTTCTTTTTTAAAAAAAAGTTTGTTTGTTCATTAATCGATAGATTCGAATACATTTTGATCGCTCATAACTAGATAAACTACGATCAATCCTTTACTACCAACAAGTACATTCCGGCCCATAGTATTTTCTTTTTACAATACGTAAACCTGATTGTCCTTTATCTTGCAATGTACGCTAAGACATTCACATATATGCATTTGATATATAGGGAAAAAAAGAAGAAATAGCACAGACATCAGTTATAATTTGTAACCTCAAAAAAATGCTGAGTTTCAGTTTTCCGCCGAAGGTACTCGTGAACAAGCTTGTCTAAAGGTTGCTTATATATTTTGCCATGTGATCAGCTGTTTATTTATTGCATTATTCAATGTCGGTATACACGCATCAAAATATGGAAGTTAAAACACGGACTCAGAGAACAAAAGGAAAAATGAATTCTCATAAATTGAAGGACGAAATTCGAAAATTGTATTCTAGATTGGAAAAACTTGCACAACTGGACGAATTTAAAGATAATCAAGAGAGCGTTAAAGAGATATATGGAGATTTTGAAAGTTTTTTCGAGGCAAGTGGATTGGCTAAACAGATCAAGAACAAATTTATGCTTTTGTTTGGTAAAGATATACTCGAGGGCACATTTACTGTTACATTCGAGGGCAAATTAACTGAAACATTTATGGCTAAAGGATCTCTGCCGGAACTGACGGACAAACGTCAAATTAATGGCGACACCATTTTGTTTCGAGCTATGACAATCAATGTCAAATCTAAAGAGGGAATAACAACTCTTGACAAGATCATCAAATTACTAATACAGACATGCCCAGAGCTGATTGTGTTTCCAAAAAGCAATGATGGTTATGAAGGTTTAACACCAGTCCATCTTGCAATACTAAATGAAAATTTAAGCATCTTAGAGTCAATGTGTAACAGTTTGTTAACTGTCCATGATTCCAGACCACTTAGAAAAAAAATGCAAGGCCTATGTGTTTTTGGGCAAATTTCTAATGCTTCTCCGATGATGGCGGGTACACCTCTTGGTGTTGCAGCTCTTAAATGTAATGAGGACATTTTCAAGTTCACGTTTTCGAATTTCGCTACAGGTTTAGATGTTACGAATGACAAAGGAGACTCTATTCTACATTCACTCATCAAGCATGCTTGCGTACGGCCGGAGAAACTCGATGATATTCAGAGAATGTTTAGTTATGTTTTGCAGTGCAAATTTGATGATAACAATGTAAAACGGAAACATAAAAAACAGGCACGCAAACTTCTTATGTTGAAAAACAAAGAAAATTTAAATGTGATGCAACTGGCTGCAAGAGAACAACAGTTTGGAATATTTGAAATTATTATGAAAAACGAGGTAAGAGATATGATTTTTTCACAAGAAAATGACATTTATGATACATTTTCCTGTTTGTTAGGTTTTTTCACGTATATGTCATATGACATTTTTTAGCTTTACTTGGGATAAAGAACTAAGGTGCCGTGCCCATTTATGCATTATTTAGAGTAGAACCAATGACTTTCCGTAAGCTAGGTAGATAGATTTCTCACTTAAAGTGTCAGAACTGGCGCGGCTCGAACCGCACAATTAGTTTGAAGTCAACAAACTTAACGATTCGGTCAAGGACGCCCCATACATTTTCTGGCTATACTTATACAGTTTTTACTTTCAATTTCAATGATGTTAAGTTTAAAAGTTTATTTGTTTCTGATCATTTGGTTAACGATGTATTTATCAGTATTTTCTAGTCAAAATGATAATTGATTAAAATATGTGATATCAAGAAATAAATATGAGGACAAAATAAATTGTAAGATATAAGGATCAGAGTTTTGAAAATGCGTACGAAGAGTAAATCTATGTTAGAGATATTTTTGGAACATTTCTTGGCTTTGAAACACCAGCGTATAGCGAACAGTTCTTTCTTATATTGAATATCATCTATTTATATAGTCTCTTTTTATTACTTAATTTAATTTGTAGATTTACTATTCAAGAGGATCCTCCGATGGCCTTTACAATGATGAAGTATATGATGTAACAGAAATAGAAACCCTGAGTTTTGTTGGAATGGGCCCTGAAGATCTGGAAGATCTGAAACCAGACCACCACGAGTCAATTATGGAGTACATAGTCCACCAGGAAACAAACGCCGCCTTTCTTTTTGTCGATTTTATTCCCGTACAAGGTGTGATTCGACAGAAATGGAAGTATTACAAGATATGGTTCCGTGGATGGTTTCTTCTCCATCTTTTTTACATGTCCCTGCTATCTGTTGCTTCTCTAAATAGATCTAAACTATCAGGACCTGTATCAATAAGCAAAAACGCTGAATTTGCATACAACGTTACACGACATGTATTCGTTACTTTTGTTTCCGTATTTGGGTTACTGTTAGGTTTGGTATACCTTGCCATGGAGATAGCGCGACAGCTCAACTCACGTTTTCAATATCGGACATCAAAGTTTTTCATTCCACGATTTTTCCGGCATTTCAATACGCCATATTCAAATATGATTTTTAGAATACATTTTGGTATATTTTCTCTTTTGCTGATCATAGATTTCGTTCTTGCTTCAACTGAAGCTTCTGGCTCCTTTACAGGATATGAAAATTATTGCCTGATCTTTGCTGTGATTATTGGCTGGTATTTAGTCATGTTCTTTCTGCAAACATATACGGCATTCAGCATATTTACTGTCTTGATACAGAAAGCAATTTTAGATATGTCTAAATTTGCTTTAGTTATTACATTCTTTCTCGTGGCATTCTCTGTAGCAATGTACATGATAATGCAAGGGGCGAATACAGAGGAAGACGACTTCAACTACTTTAGTACAACAATGCTTAAAATGTTGACCATCATGCTTGGCATTGGAGAACTTGGAATTTTGTTTGAAGCTCGACACCCTTATCTAGCAATTTTTGTCTTTGTTCTGTTTGTCTTGCTTACAACAATTCTCCTTCTAAATGCCTTGATCGCCATTATGTCAAATTCGTGCACAGATCTTATGAATAACTATGGAGGATTGGTCGCGACAAAGCTTCACTGTCGCCTGCAAAAATTGTCACTTATTTTGTTTCTTGAAGGGTTCCTTCCCTGTTTTTTATGTAAAAATGTTGGAATTATAAGTTGTAGTTACAGAGTTGTAAATAGTAAAAGGAAGTCCCTCACAATGAGGCGATTATGGGTTAGAAAGTCAGTACACGACACTAACTACACAACACCTACACATTCGAAAGGAAATAACAGTAGCGTTAATATTAGCAAATGAAATCAATGAAATCAGACGTCGAATAAATACAACATCGTTAAATAGCTAAGGATATATTCAATAATAATTATTGTGCTGTTTAAAGTTAGTATTTTATAGTGTTTAATTTGTGTACTTAGAAATAATATAGAAATAATTAAACGATTAAGGTGTTTTTATTTTTGACAAACTGAATTTTTGAATACTTCTAGATTTGTTTCCAGAAAAACAGTTTTGTAAGTGAATGTAAGCATCATTCAGTTTAAAAGTGACTTTTCGTGTGCGTGTTTTTTGTTGTTTTTTTATCTTAGCAACAAACACTTCAAAAGGTTTCCAAAGGATTTATGATTATATCATTAGTCAGATAATTAATACATACTTTTAGGTGTGTAAATATTTCATGATTTTTCGACTGATATAAGATTTATCTGCTATAGTATTTCTGGTGATTTTGGTTAGTATATACATTTTTCGGCATTCACCTGTTGTATTTTTTCCTTTATGTACTTTTCCTAAATTTAATCAAAATAAAAAATAATTTCCCTTTTGAAACTTGTGTTTTTAAATATTTTTTTTGGCATTTTTTATACGTGAAAAATAGTTACCTGGTTTATTTTGGGCAAACTTTTCAATGGGTTTTTAAATTTATACTTCATAGATACTTCTTGACGTTTATTGCGTTAAACTAAAACGACTTAAGGTAATTGCCTGTTGTAATGTATTGCATAGTTTTATTTAATTTATTATTAAATAATCTTTGGTACTCCATATGATTCTTGAAGTAATCAACTATGTTTGTAAATTAAACATAACAAATGTTCATAAGAATGGTACTTTATATTTACAAATAGAAAGGGGTATTTTATATAGATATAAGTGTACGAATACTTCTGTCTCAATGTTCACTTTTAATAAAAATTTAAGATTTACACAAACATAACTATATACATATAAATGTATGAATACTTCTGTCTCAAGGTTCACTTTTAGCAAAATTTAAGATCTACACAAACATAACTACCGGTATATAGATATAAGTGTATGAATACTTCTGTCTAAAGGTTCACTTTTAACAAAAATATTTTAAACGTGATAACAAGACGCTTTATAATAATCGATAGAATTTTGTAGTTTTTTTAGGTATCTAAGATTTTATTTCACAAACTGATACTTAAAATAAGTTTTCTATTGATATTATTGATAAGATTTAATCTGCTCGAGACACCAAAACAAAAGATATAAAAGAAATCCTGACCGACATTAAAATACAAAAATGTATCTTCTGATCTTTTTGTAGAATATATGTGTATCAAAGTGGTTATTGAAAGACTATATAAAATATTTGTCATCCAGTATATTGATTATATATCCGTGACCATAATAATGACACTCTATTTGTCGATTTGTGACGACTTCAACACTAGTAGACTGTACAGAATATTTATTTGTTTTTCTTTGTTGATGTTGTTCTATCATGTATTTCTTCTGTTGTTGTTGTTTTTGTTGTTGCTGCTGCTGCTGCTTTTGTCTTATTTTTTATTATGCATGTTGCTTTTCTTTATCATTAAATATTATTTTATACATTGTATTGTAAATGAAATGGTTTCTAACTACATTTCTGTAACTATGGTAACTCTTAACACAATGTGATCATAACACATTTCTTTTCATAGTTTTAAAAAAAATAATCTTAAAGTTGTATGAGAGAAAAACATGTCAAGGTCTATTGAATAAATCAATCAAATCAATTTAAAACTCTTTGTTATTCATTATTGATTTTGTCGAAGAAAATGTTCAGATTTCATGAAGTGACAAAATAAAGAAATTAATGCTCAAGCTCATGTTTGTTTTACATAATATGCTTTATGATATATCTATATTTTTTCCATGAAGACTAATAGCGTATACAGTTAAGTTTTATTACGTAATCATGGAAACTTTGAATTTGTCAAATACTTGATAGTTTACTATTAGTTATACATGATGTTCGCTTACAAACCCTATAACAAGTACAGAAACAGACATATAGTGGCGTCCCCTCGTCAAACTGTACAGAAGTATTTGCATAAACGGCAATGAATTGCACCGTGTGTGTGTAATAAGTTGAAAGAGTACATATGTGGGCTCCAGTCTCACTAAGTGTTTCCAATGAAACATTAAAACATAAAACAAAATTCAGTCATATACTTACCGACAGCAGCAAACGGCCATATGTTTTCCACCGCTTCTGCGACGAATACTCCATCGCCGCTGCAATGGACCCACCGCTTCTGCGAAAGCTATGGCCAGTGCGAAATATTAATGTAACCAATTTAAACTTATTCAAGCCAGCTCCTGCCTAAGACTTGCTCTTATCCCAGAGTAGATAAAAATACAAAGTATTGTTATCAAAATATTTCAAACTAGACGATCGGTTTGATTTACTTACTTAAATTAATTAATTTGTAGTTTTATTTCATTAATAATTAATTGTAGTCGTAAAGAAAATGGGTATTAAAATAAAAGTTATTTAAAACCAAATTCTAATCTTTAATCGGATTTTGAATGCTCAATTAATTTTATTTGTTTTAATTTTATTTGTTTTAGTTTTATTTGTTTTAAAGATATTCACCTGAGATATTAAACGACCATTTTCATGCTGTATGCCAATTCAACGCAACCACATGCCGTGAAGTCACAGCTGGTGGTAGAGTATAGATATATGCAGTGTAAAAGTGTCTGTCTCGAGTATCCAGCAAATGTAAAAATTCATACCTTTAGATTAAAGAAGATAGATAGAGTTATACCAATGTCTTCAATATACAGTAAAACCCCTCAATTAAGACCACCATCGGGACTGGACAAAAGTGGTCTTAATTGCGTGGTGGTCTTAATTGTGAATATTCATATCACTGCTTACATACTTAATGCCAAACAATATTTAACATACATGGTAACGTATTAATGGTTTGTTCAATAGTAATTTTAAGCCTAATGCAATGAAGTTAACATAAAATAAAAAGATTCAGAGTATCTGTGCAACTATTTTGTTAAGGATTTCATGTTAATTGGAATTTTAAAAGCTTAATGTTTACTGAAGCATTTACGAGGGCCTTTGACAATATGATTTTAATAATATTAATGTAATTATACATGATATATCTAGAGTCTATATTTGTCTTGCTTATATTTAGTCATTTGTTGAAACCATTTAAAACTTTCTCATAAAATGATTTTGACAGAAATTTTCAACATTTACGAGCCTATTATTTACAGGACTCGATCTGCCGTCTTTTTCACCATCTCTTGTGATTTATTCTGTTTGTTTTGTTAAATTATATTAACTTGTCGCTGGACCTTGGTATTATTGGAATTGTGTTATTCTACGAAAACAAAGAATTATCCATGTTTTTAAAAATATGCATCTGCTATGTGCTTATAATGGTAAATATTGGGCTTACACTATTAAACAAATATTAGATGAATGTGGATTAATATTTGTATGGGAAAACCAATATAACATACAGCTAGATATTAAAGCAATTAAATTCAGAATTCTCAGTTTGTATTACGAAAAATGGTATACGTTGATAAATAATTCACCTCGTCTTGATACATACAGTTTATTTAAACATACTGTTGATTTAGAGAAATGCTTAAGCGTAATTAAAGAACCAAAGTATAGAATAGCCTTATCTAGATCCATAATTTAGCTATAGAATATGGAAGATATCGTAATATTCAAAGAAATGAACGTTTTTGTGACAATTGCCAATTTCACGAAAAAGAGAATGAACATCTCTTTTTACTTATTTGCCCGAAGTTCTCCGATTTGAGAAAAAAGTATCTTAAACGGTATTAATTCACATGGCCGACTAAGCAAAATTTTATCCATTTAATTTCCGAATCATCTTTAACTGTAATTAATGGTTTAAGCAAATTTATATATCATGCTAACACTTTAAGAAATTAAACCTATCAAATGTGATCTGTATTTTATTCATATAATTGTTAGACTCTTCTGGTAAAAATCCATTACTTGTGTTGTTTGTGTTTATATATTTTGCACTTGCTAGGAACATGTATTGGTTTATTGCAATTAAGTTTTGAAGTTTGAATACATTTAAACTTATATTACAATCACAAAAAAATGAAGTCAACATGAAAACAAGCGTGTCCCTTATCTGGCTGTTAAAATTAATTTTGTGGAATTATAGGAAATTTTAAATCCATGCTATTCGCTATTTTTTTTAATCTAAGCAAACACTTCAAAAGGTTTCCAAAGGGATATAGATGATACCATTATGTGGAACATTAATGCATACTTTTACTTTCAATGACTATATAAAGGCCCAAAAGTCTTGGAATTGGCATTCTTGTGATAATTCAGATATTATGTTAATTTGAGCCGCGTCATGACAAAACCAACATAATGCGTGGATCCAGACCAGCCTGCGCATCCGCGCAGTCTGATCAGGATCCATGCCCATGCTGTTCGCTATCTATTTTCTTTATTTGTAATAGGGTTTGTAAGCGAACACCATGGATCCTGATCAGACTGCGCGGATGCGCAGGCTGGTCTGGATCCATGCTGGTCGCAAACCCATTATGTTGCTTTTGCCATGGCACGGCTCATTTAGTCTGCTAAAAAGTGATATGAAAGCTTTTAGTTAATACAAATTTAGTGTTGAAAGCTATGAGCTTATTGAAACACTTTTGAATCTGTAAAAGTGTGAAAGCAGTCACGATATTGCAAAAACAGGGCCATCATGGCCCTGAAATCGTACACCTGTATATAGGCCCCTATGGCGGGACCAATTTTAACCCAGAGGCTTTTATTTGAACATACTTGGTAGATACCCATTTGAAGATGTTTCATGATAAATATCTAAGCTCTAGCTGTAAGAAGTTTTTTTAAGTTTTAACTATACAAATATAGGGAAAAACAATGACCCCCCCCCCCCTCTGTGCGGGCCCAATTTTGTCCCCAGGGCTTTTATTTTTAACAAACTTGGTAGTCACTCACTAGAAGATAGTTAATGCTTAATATCTAAACTCTAGCTCTTTGGGTTTTTAAAAGAAGATTTTATAAGTTTTTACTATATACATATAAGGAAAATCAATGATCCCCGGGGCAGGGCCAATTTTAACCCCAAGGCCCTTATTTGAACAAAAATGGTAGACACCCATTAGAAGATGTTTCAAGCTTAATATCTAAGCTCTAGCTATTTGGGCTTTTTAAAAGATTGTTTTTAAAGTTTTTACTATATACATATAAGGAAAATCAATGGTGCCCGGGGTAGGGCCAGTTTTAACCCAATGGCCCTTCTTTGGACAAAAATGGTAGACACCCATTAGAAGATGTTTCATGCTTAATATCTTAGCTCTAGCTCTTACGGTTTCTTAAAAGAAGATTTTTTTAGTTTTTACTTTAAACATAAAGGGAAAAACAAAGGTTCCCTGGGGCGAGGCCAGTTTTGACCCTA